TTTCTGTATTCTTATTGAAAAATGTTTAAAAATCCACTTTGTCCCCGGTACTCTGATATGGGATTCGAACTGACGACCTTTCTCAATCCGGGCGACTACTCTAACCACCAGGGCCAAAGTGGGTTTTTTTAACCATTTTTCATCAAGAAGATTTACCAATAATAGCAAATGTTTTCTGTGTAAGATACAACCATCGAACCTGACGTCAATTTGCGATTAGAACCTATTAAATGTGTAAACTGATTATTTTATTATTACATAGCGAATTTTCTTTCTGTAGTTATATTATAACAAATTAAGCAGTAGGGGGCATAATTGGTAATCGGGTACTGTCAGTATCGTGACCCAGGGAAGTACTCGTAAGCAACCAAGATCACGAACCGTACCCCGCACCTAAGTCTTGTCACGCGATTAATTGCCAAAGAGCGTGTTTACCGTAAAACAGTTGAGCGTTCGATACAATACTAATCTACGGTGAAGCAATTCCCACAAAATAGAGTCCATTCATTGTCACTGCCGTGAGAATTGCGTGAGTTTTCACAGTAGCGCTAACAAGTTTAGTGCACCCTCTACGAATGATAATTCCGTAGTGTGGTTCTAAGCTTATTGGCCTTGTAATAGAGTGCTAGAGGATGTATTAGTGTATGCATTCGAGCCTTTCACCGACCGACACGGCGACTAGCTCTTGCGTCATCAGAGCGCTGCAACACGTCACTTCGAGTTCACTCACTCCGTACTTACGACACCGTTTAGAAAGAACACTCAAGAAAACTTAACCACCATCCAAGATTTTAAAAATGTTAATTGCAAATTTTTAGACTGACAGCTCAATTCAATACTACCTCTTTTAATCCAATATTTCTCTTGTATTTATTTGTATTCTTTGGTGAAAATTTCATGCTTTTAGGGAATATATTCGCTAATGTTACGTTATTCTGAAAAACTTAAGTGTTATTTACTTTAAAATAAATAATAGGTAGGAAAATAGAACCTAAGTAGCAAATTTTCAAATTTATAAACAATTTTAGCGTTCTTTTTTAAATTAAATTATCGTTTTAAATACTTTTTATAATTATCATTATTATTTAAATATAAAATCATGTTAAAATTCAATTATTTGTATAGGTATTAACCTTCTCTTAATTATTAGGAACATAAACAGGCAATGAAATTAAAAGTGACCATGAATTATTAAATACTCGTAACAACCCATTACATTAGCGTGAAATGATTTTGATTTATTTATGTTAATTTAGAATTGCTTCTATTTACCTATGTTACCACTTAGAATTAGGTAAAGAGATGCAACAATAACTCTGAAAATACCTACATGTTATAAACAAATCAATTCTCAAGACTTAAAAATATTTCCGAATTAAAAACAAGGTTCTTTTTTCGTTTTATATAGAAAACCTTGCATTTTTTTCGCAAATTGATTCATAATTATTGTATGAGCAATCACTGCATACTTTTAGTCATCGATTTCTGTGGTACTTATACCAATAGAAGGTCTAATTACTGGAGTATAGGGTGTTATTGGACTACGCGTGTGGGACAATTAATAATGGTTAAACTTACTTTCACGATGCCTAGTGTATTGTAGAGTGGACTACATAAAAAAGAAACATATAAATGTCGTCGCGGATGTAACTTTGCAATATAATATGTAGGCTAGCTTTTCTCAAATTGTGGTTTGCGACAGCTTAAACCATATATTTGAGTTTCACCAAAATATTAGTCGAATTTCGCCAAATGATCGGAATTAAAATAAAAAAATAATTAAATAAATTAATTATTAAGCAGTACACATAAAATTAAATTTTGTTTTATTTTAGTGTTCCGTGTGAATATTTGGTTTCCAAAAGTGTTCTATCGCCTCAAAAGGTTGAGAACCACTGGCGCTGGTATAGACAATATTATTTGCATTCGTGCAAAACCAGGGTTTGTTCATTTATAGCACCACATATGTAATTGATGCATTATTTGATGTTACAGCACTAAAAATCTGAAATCTACCTGTTGTTGTTATCAGTATCGTCCAAAAAGAACTCGAATCATTAATTTCTTAGAGAATGAGTATTATTTTTAGAATTTTGAAAATATTTTCTTAAGTTCAAAATTACTATTAGTTAACAATAGAAATTCCGTAAATATAAAAGCGTCTTTTACATTTTGCAAGTGTCTAAATTACTTTTGGCTAAAGTTCAAACAACAACCTCTAGTTCGCACTTCGTATTCTCATCATTTCAGTTTCGGGAAAATAATAATGTCAATTCCGATATCCTTATCTCCCGCCATGACAGTTTCTTTAGATGAAACTGCAAACTCTCACGAAGTTTTCCTAACAATTTCCGTTAGAACTCTTTGTTTTTGAACATTGAATCTTAAGTATTTTGAATACTTAAGATTCAATGTTCAAAAACAAAGAAAAGTAAAAGTATAAATGGTAAACATGGGCTGGTTGTTACCGTCAGTATTGCCTCACACAACATAATGACGTAATAAGAATGAAATGGTATAATACATTTCAAAACTCTAAAGAAGCTTACGAGAATCGGTGCGCTAGACTTTCGTCATACAAATGGTTGTGACATAGATTACATTTTAATAAAATTTAACATAAATAATTTTATTTTCTTTTATTAGGTAACGAAAACTTGTTTAAGTGACGTTTAAGTACAATTTGAGACGTACTTAACATTAAATTATTAATTCACAAACTTATGGTCAGTTGCACAAACGTCATTTAAGGTTTAATGATGCTTTGAGCTCCAATGAATGTCAAATTTGTATCGGTAATGTAGCTTTTAACTAATGTCAATTTTAATTGGCGTTGTCAAGCTACTAACTCATATGCTCTTACTCTACAAGCTTTGACTTTACAAACTCTATACCTTTTTCAAAATATATATCTATTTGCATTTGGAAAATGCGATATTTATGTTTAGTATAAACACTAAAAACATAAGTATTAAGAGATCAAAATAAAAACTGTATGGATGATTACTCATTGAACAATCTGCGGCAAACAACAATAATTTATTGGCTACGGTCAAGTGGCTACAAAAATAAATTATCCCATAATAAAAAAAATAATCAAGGTTCCAAATTTGAACTTCTTAATCACTGATTTAAGCGGGAAAGCCCGCGAAACCTATGTTGACCGCGATGTGGCGCGAGGACACGCCACGACAATGGACCGCCCGACTCGTCCGGAATGCCGATGAAGCGATACGACTTGGAATTTACGACTAGCAATCACTAACATTGCGAAACATCGCTAATATAGACATTATACAGTATATCAGAAGCATTTTTTGCAACAAACAAGAAATTGCCAAACATTTATCCTCTTTTACATGAGGATCAACATATAACAAAATGGATATTCAATGTTCTGATTAGGCTCGATACTCAACGATAGGGCCTATTTAAAGGTGGTTTCTTAACTCATCAATTATAGTTGCAAGGCTGGGCGTGACTCACATGAATAAGGAATGAATAATCGCTGATTTAGTATTAGTATTGGCGATGAATTTTAATCATTCATTAAACCTTTAGCAATAATTAAAAAAATGTAGGTATTTGTTTGTCAGAATAATATGTTATAAGTATAGTTTTATACTACAACTTATTTTACACAATTTCAACAAGTACGGTTTGAACGAAGGTTTAGATTCACTTCTTCTTCACTAAAGTTTAAAGGTTATTTCTAAACATTCAATTGTTTTTAAGAATTGCCTACTTTATTCTTTTTCCCGATTCACACCGTTTTCCAGAATTCGATTGATGCCATTCTTGGAAACAAATAATATAATCGTGTCTCTATCACATGCGAAATGTACAGGATAGCAACTGCCTTATTTTCTGGCTATGAATCATCAATGCCTACAAAGACATGATAAAAATAATAGAATTTAGACAATCAAAGCTAATTCCATATTTGAAATAAACCTTATGCTGACTTAAATATACAAAACAATAAAAAATAATTTAATTTGAACCATTTTCTAATAAAGGATTATGTACTAGCATTTTAAAATCAATTAAATGCTCATTAAGACGTGGATAGATTTAAAGCGTTAGGCCTGTGGTTAGCCAAAGGCTAAGTGGTTAGACGTTCGCTATCCAGGATGTACATCCGAGAGCGCGGCTCTAATGGTTTAAGTAGGTGCATTGGTGCATTGTATTATGTGGAATTATTACATTTTAATCACTCATTATAAGATTTTTATAGCTAGGCAAAAAAAAGATATTTTTACTTCATAATCAAGTAAATTGTTTAATAATGTGTTTTAATGAATTTTAGATTTTACCCCAAATCTTGCTTATATACTGAAGGGCAAAATTTTACAAATGCCAGTAACTTCATTTGTTAAATTTTGTCTTTTTATATAATAACAGTTATTAGCGTGTTTGGTCTGTGCTGCGAATGTTAACTTACTTTGGCAAAGGCCGGTCATAGGATGGATGACCAAAAATTTACCTATTTTAAACTTCCTCATGCAAAGGTAAATTACGTCTTAAGATCCCGGTTGCATCTATAGTCTTTGGTACCCACCAGTGGCACTAGGCCGCATGGTGGGTTATGCCCTTTTCTTAATGTGGAATCACCCAGAAGTGGAATAAAGTCTTATTAATAGAAGAAACCATTGCCTAAGCAGTAGGGACATCAATACCCTGATGATGATGAAAATAAATCTCGTATGAAATTCAGAAAAAAATCGAAGTATGTAACTAAATTTAAAAAAATAATAATAAAAGAAATGTAACATGCTGTCAATATATTCCTTACCTACTATATTTATTATTACTTTAACCATAAGTATATGGGAACCTATCTATTGATTATCAGTAATAAACGTCAAACTGTAATGAAAATAAAACGAAGAAGTAAACATGACCTTTGCATTTTTTATAAGGAAAACTTTTAACATTAAATTACGCGTGTAGAGAATTGTTTGAATACAAACTCTTCTAGTCCTACCCTTTTAGACCATGCATAGAAAAAATTTAAAATTATTAGCCGCTGATAATGTTATTTTAAAAAAATATACCTTCTTATAATAGATATTAAATTGAGTATTTTAGGAAACGGGCTTACTGTGGTAGTGAGTATTTTCTCCAAATTTGTTGGCAATGCAGTAAAAAGTTTAATTTATATTTCTTTGGTTGCAGAGTTAGCGTGTGTAATGCAGCAATGGCGATGAGGACGGCGCTACTCTGCGCTGTGTTCCTATTTCATTACGGTAATATGTACACTAAATCATTTTGGTAAAACTACCCCTAGGACTTTTAAATTTAAGCAATTATAAAGGAATAATAATTAAAATTAATGATCCATAATCCTAAGCTGATAATAATACTCGTATAAAGGAGATTAGTTTGAAAGAGATACATAAGTTTGTGAAGAAATTTCTTAAATCATAGAGCAAATCTAATGAAGAAATACTATTTATTTGTTATTAATAACGAAATCTCTTTTCTAAATTTAGCAAATGCTGAGCTGAGAGGTAGATGTCCAGCGGAAGAAGGCCCATGTCCAGCGCGTGCAACCCCTTGTAACTCCGATGATGAATGCGGGGAACAAATATGTTGCAGTACAACATGTGGGCGCGCCTGCATCGATCCCCTTTATACTGGTAATAATAAATAATATTGTATCTGAAAGTAGTTATAAGTTAGCAGAATAATTGCTTTGAATAATACCGCTAAAAAAAACGTAAAGCGGCGGGATTTTTATTATATATAACGGCGGGTAGTCCCAAGGGGCTATTACGAAGCCCAAATAGATCGTCCATATCGGAGGACTATCTTTAAAATAACACTGCAGGCGTGTATACCAACGTGGATTTGTTCCATTTTATCACTTTTCTTACGAAAATATAACGAGATGAGCGTGATGTCATCTGATGTCTTTACTCCTCGGCGTTTGGAAACAGAATGTGTGCCAAAATGGCGGCAACTTGCTTTTTATTAACGAACTGTCAAAGTCATTGTCACCATTCTAATAAAATTAAGGTTATCGATGATCACGCTCTCTTTACAATCGAGTAATTAAGTAATCGAGTAACTAGCAATTAAAAAAAAAGAAACTAAATCAAACGATCTTCGTAATGATGATGCGACATATAAATTACCACTATATACAAACGGCTATCTCGTTTGATAGACATAGTTTAACCTAGTTAGGATATTTATTATCGGTTATAGTGGTCTATAATTCCATGTATTTATTTAATATTATAGCAATCAAGAAAACCAAATTAATCCTACTAATTTCTAGATAACATACTTGATTATAATTTATTTTTAACTAAACTTTTCACTTTGAAAATTACTATTACATATATTAGTAGTTTTAGTTTAATTTTAAATTATAATAAATATTTTAACTAATAAATATTTTCATAAATTAAAATTAATTGAACACTATTAGGTATTGTATGCAAAATTCAAATGCTTTGTTAGTTCCTTTCTTGTTTATAGTTCCATATTTATAATAATAATTTTTATCAAGTACTTTTACCGAGGCTTATGAATGTTTTTTTTTTAAATATTATTATTATTAACCAGGCTGTGAGAACGTAAGACTGTCCTCCGAACGGATATCCCGAGCGCTTGCAGCGGAGAACAGTCGCGGTGGTCGTGGATTACTGAAAGCGGTACGCACCCCCCGATGTCGCACCTCCGACGGAGAGTTCGAGGAGATACAATGCGACAATGAGATAGTCAGCTCGTGTTGGTGTGTTGACGCAGCTGGATTTGAAGTAAGGCTTTTTTCGTTCTTCGCAATTGTTCAAATTAAAGGATTTAGTTAAATTATCATTAGCTCGTCAATAATCGTACCGAAAAATTTACGTTACTACATATTTATGTGGTTACTACAATTGATAATGAGAATTAATGGTGTAGGTTAAAGGCTACATGGTGTAATTTTCGGCTTTCAAGTGCTTGTGACTTTGTTTATATACTATAAATAATGGTTTTGATAAAATTGATCAAATAATTCTTTCCTTTCCTTCCTTTGAATAGTCACATAACAGAAATTGCAAATAAATTATATAAATCAAGTAAATAAATAGGTACTAATTAACAGATTATTAATATTAATGACACTAGCATCGATTTATTACATGTGGTATTGGCATTATAAATTCCATGTATATCGAATCAGCTGATATCAAAGAAATCTGTGGCTGAGTTAGTAATGATAAGTTGTTATCCTAGGTGCCGGGCACCCGCGCCCCAGCCGCTGGTCTGGTGAATTGCACCCGAGTATCACCTTGCGCGGCACATACGTGCCGAATGCTGTGTCCGCTCGGCTTTGAACTGGATGCACGCGGTTGCCCGCTATGCAAGTGTCGTGACCCTTGCGCATCCGTCACTTGTCCTGGACAACTCTCGTGCCAATTAGAGGAGACTCCCTGTTTGAGACCACCATGCCCACCTGTACCTACATGTGAGATATTTTCATCTAGTACTATGCCTATGTCTTCGTAAGACTACAGTTCACGTTCAGTCTTCACTGGGAGTTAAGCGACAAGGTTATTTAAGTTTTTAGACAATTCATTATATAGATACTTATTTACAGTCAACAGAACGACAGGTTATATGAAACTTTCAAATTTCCCCACTCGATTGAAGTCTTAATACATACAGAATTAATTGTAGAAATATGACATATTAATAATATTGTTAATAAAAAAAATATTTTTCTGTTACTATCAAAGTGCATAGCTAAAATTATTTACATTGTCGATTAATTTCCACACAGAAATTCCACATCAATATGTTGCCTAATTTTGAGGTAAAAAAAACAACTATATTATCACAACAAGTTACAACAAATTGATTTAGTAGGGTTGGAAAAATAATGTATCATTTTCCGAATGACTTTAAAATAGCGCTATGCATATAGTTACGCTTTATACTAGTAGGATAAGCAATACTTGAGCATACTGGATGTTCATATCTTATAATACATAGATGTTAGTTTCGATTAAAATTAAGTATGATAATATAATATTTCAGGTAAAAGAGGTCGCAGTTTACAGAACATTTGCCCTGCTGGAGAGCCTTTGCTCATATCAGAAACAAGTCGGCCGTATTTATGCGGAACGGATCCTGGAAAACCAAACTGTCCACCTCTTTATAGATGTCTCGTTGAATCAGGTAATTATTTACATACGATTATTAGATACGATTTTAATCTGAATACCTTTCAATCTATTGTAGCTATACTTAATGTCAAAGATATCATAACAATGAGGAAAACAAAAGCGCTAAATATAGAAGCCAAGGCTACAAACGAAAATTTCATAAATTACATTTTTTTTCGAAGGAAATGACTATGGCGTCTGCTGTCCAGCTTCTCTGGAACTACAGAAAGCAGGCACATGTCCAGAACCGGATAGTGAGGAATTAGAATGTGGCGCTCCCTGTGCACATGATTTGGAATGCCCATCAATGCAGAAATGCTGTGACGGTGGAGACTGTGGAAGACATTGCACCTTACCACATAATGTAACCATGTGCACGCAACAGAAAATGTTAGCAGAATTGCTCGTCGTCAGTGAGAGAGAAGGGAAGGGATACGTGCCGCAGTGCGCGAATGATGGTTCCTTCCAGTCCAGGCAGTGCTCTAGAAACGGATTGGTTTGTTGGTGAGTTTTAGTGCTTGAACTCTGGTAAGCATTTATTGGCAATCAATTTATAAATAAATCCTCGAAATGAACATATTGGTTTTGCACTGCTTTTTATTTTAGGTGATGGTTGATTATTGCGATATATCCCTCTATGCTTACCAGAAAACATTATATCAATGGGTAATGTTTTCTTTTAACAAGTGCCAAAAGAGGAATGATATGTTTTTCTTTTTTACAACTGTACATATTTAATTCAATTATTTGAATAAGTAGGTTTTTTTTAGATTGACAACAGGCATTTGAATTATATTTTTTCCGGGAAGCAATACTTTTTCAATATTCAAGTCGAATAAATATATTAGGGCTTTGGATTATTCAACGTTAACTTGGTTAAATCTCTTATCCAAAATACTATTCTTTTCCACCAAGGTGTGTTGACTCGGAAGGCAACAAATTGCGAGGTTCCATGGGTCCGTCACCGGGGGTACAGTGTCCAAGTTCTCCAAGACCTGCGCGCTCAGGTGCCCGCAGCTTAACAACTTGCAGCCGCGCACTCTGCGCTGGCGTCTGCGAATACGGCTACAGGACCGGCGCTGATGGATGCCCTACTTGCGAGTGTGATGACCCTTGCGCTGGCTTCCCCTGCCCCGATGGCGAAGAGTGCGTCAGAGTCAGAGACGCGGAATGCTCTGGGGACTTGTGCACTGGCTATCCCGTTTGTGAGTATTAAATTTCAGATCGCCTAAGTGTTTCACTGTCATTTCGGGACTTCAAATTAACAGAGTAACTTATCATTAAAATTAATTCATGCACAGCATTAAATTATTTACATAAGAATTATCCTATCGTAAATTATTAATCATCTATGAAATGATCCATTAAAGTCTTTTAATGTTTGGTTTTGCCAGTCATGCAAATCTAAATATCCTAACAATGACTTTCTACTATTAAATAATTAACTGTTCTTGTCTGCTTTAGTGAAAATGTTTTTTATTTTACGTTTCCAAAAATATTGAACGTTGTTTATAATATTTAGGTGACGTTAATAAATAAATAGATTCTTACTTTCATAAATATACTAATGTTTTTAAAGAAACTTGAAAATAAATAATTTCAGGTAGACCTAAGGTATCATACGAGAACCCATGCGACGTGGGTGTCCCGGCGACGGACGAAGAGGGCAGCGTGATTGGTTGCGACGCAGATCTTGATTGTCCTGGAGGACACTCCTGCACCAGTTCCCGGCGCAGTAGCGCCGCCGTCTGCTGTCCAGAGAACTATTCGGACAATTCTACGGATTCCGAATCCACCGAGGTAACATTCACAAAACTACATGTAATCCTTCGAAAACTTAAAAAAAGTCGATTTTATTTTTTTGAAAGTTCATGCTTGCCATTTTTTTTCAATCATCTATACTCATATTATATAGAGGAACGATTTGATTGCCTGTTTGTTTGCTTTGGATAGGCCCAAACCATTATACCACTTTATAAGTCTTTCATCTATGGGAAGATAACACGCAGGGAACATAGGCTATAATTCACGCAGGCAAAGTCGTGGGTAAACAGTTAGTATGATGGAAATTGGTTCACAACTCAAGAAGAAATTTAAGAAGATACTATACATACATAGTACTTAATTTCATAAAAAAAAGTACATATTCTTTGAATATAGAAAATCCTGCTTTCGGATTTTGAATGAATGCAAAATACGCAGTCTTTTGTTTCTTTTTACTGATATAAACATAGGTATCATCAAAATATTTAGGTTTTCTTATAAAACTACTGACTCGATTTCGATAAAATTTTAATGGGACCAACCGGTCCATTGGTGGAAATATCTGTGAACAACATTCTCCTTTTTGATATTTAAGTCAGCTAAAAAGTATTCTCTTCGGCATTTTTTTTATAATTTTCATCAATTATTTCAGTCAAACTTAGAATCGTGCAGCGTGGAAGCTGAAGCTCTATGCGGTATGAACACTACCATATCTTGCCCTGAAGGTTCATGTGGCAATGATCTGGTCTGTTGCTCCGCCAACTGTGGTCCCATTTGTGTAGACCCCGCCAAGATGCGGCTACAGACTGACAGAGTCGACGATACACCTACAAGTAAGCTTGATTATTAAATATTAATAGTATCTTTGATATTTCTTTTAAAAAGGAAGTTAAATGAATTTGTCCATTACTTAAGAATGGTTTTAAAGTAGATTTAACGTGTCAGTGAAGAAAGAGTGATTGGTATTCTTAATAAAAAACGCTTTAAAAATCAACTGCCCCATGTATTCTAAGATGGGATTCGAACCCTCGACCTTTCACAATCCGGGCGACTGCTCTAACAACTGAGCTACCCAAAACCTAACAGAACTGACGAATTTTTCAAGCACTTGTTATTTTTTGCTGCTATATTTTTATCACAATACTATATTTTTTATGAAAAATGCTTAACAAACCCACTCGCACCAGGTACTCTGAGATAGGACTCGAATCTTTCTCTAAATTGGGGGTGGTCAATAAATCTTGAAATTACTGTGAATCCTGACATATGGCGCTGTATTAGCTATTATTATCGGTGGTACCAGGCTGATTTCTCAACTTAACGTGGATAAGACCCCGTCTTTGTCATATTATGGATTGTCATACATACCACCCTATGCCACTTATGTAAAAAACTTGGGTGTTATTTTTGACCGTTAGCCGACATGTTCATGGAACCCTTGGTGCGTTGTATCGATTTTAAAATTTACTCCCGTCGAGTACTAATGTTGCCCTAATGCAAGCTCTTTTTCTTCCCCTCTTTGATCATGCTTTAAATATTTCTGAACAAGTTGAATCGTCTTCAAAATAATACCATACCTCGTATTCGGTCTACGTAAATATGACCATATCACTGAATTTCCTTATCAACTTAAATGGTTGCCGCAGGTGCTTAAGGTTAGTGTGTACTATCTTCAAAATTATTTATGATCCATGTACCCCTGAGTGTTTATATAACATATTTAAATTCCTAGGAGTTTGTCATTAAAAACAAGTTCGCTCCGTTTGCAATCTCCTGCCCATAATACTCAGTTTGTCACCGAGTCCATTATTATAGTTTCTTATAAAGTAATGTTAATTTTAACAAAGCATTACTTTATTAGAAACTAGTTATCCTTATCCTATTATTATTTAGTTATCCTATTATTTTACTGAATTTACTTTACATTTTCGCTAGTTCGATTGGTAAAGAATGTCTTTTTGGCATTAACTCGGCCTAATATTTAACTAATAATGTCAAGTCCTAAGTTATATCCATGCTTGAACATTTTTGTTTTCATGAAAAAGGAATTATAAGTAATCTAGATTTATTTTTTTACCTTACATAAAAACAAAAAGAAATTTAATATTTGGTATATTTTCGTCTTCTCTAGTGTGCGAATATCTGCGTGATTTTGACGAAAAGATGGAAGGTACAGTGGACGGTATGAAGTTAGCGTTACCGCCGCCTTCATGCCAATCGGACGGATCGTTCGCGCCGCAGCAATGCGCTAACGGACGTTGCTGGTGCGTAGACTCCTTCGGCACCGAAATACCGGAAACCAGCACCAATAACGCTTCCTCCGTGGATTGTGACAAGTAAGACATAATAATAGGTATAAATAATAGTGTTGGGGATATAAATCAATGTTAAAACTAAGTGGAAACCTCCAAAATTAAGCTGGGTGCTCAGACGCGTAATAACATAAAAAAAAAATTCAAATTGACCCGATCGAAAATCGATCCCGGAACCTCAGAGCTGACTATGATTTGACACCGCTGTGTTAGCTAACCTTCTATGATAGTTCTATAAACTTATGTGTAAAACCTTACGTACAGTACAGTGTTATACAATAAAGATTTTTGTTTATTATCCTATCGAGTCAAGGAATTCTTCATAGGTAGAAAACAAACATAAAATCACGCTCAGTGTGGTTTGATAAGGTTTAACTATTACAGATTTTTGAAATATTTTTTACCCGACTGCAAAGAAAGGGTTATGTTTTTCGTGCGTATTTTGTATTATGTAAGTATATATGTATGTAATCGTCCTTTTACCTCATATCATCAGAATCGCTTAACGGATTAAGATAATTGAGGTATCGTTAGATTTGTCTTAGTAGCCCAAGTATTCTTAAATAGGTAACGTGAAAAAATATACCAACCTGGTAATTTGTCTAAAAAGACATAAAATAAAATTATAATTGAAAAAAAAACAAAAACCCAAACAACTAACTGAAAACTCTGAAATAAGATAAAAAAATGCAACATCATACATAACATGCAGTCGGAGGCATGCACAAAGAGGCATTTTTTAATTAATATTTACTTTGAACAGAGTGCGCGAGGAGTTGGATTGTCTCGATTTGACGTGCCGCATGGGTTGCGACTACGGGTTCGAGTTGGGCGAGGGGCGGTGTTCCACGTGCCGGTGCCGGGACCCCTGCGCCGGTGTCTCGTGTCCCGCGGGACGCGCCTGCGCCGTCGTCGATGTCGCCTGCGATGCTGACTACTGTCCACCAGTACCAGCTTGTAAGTACTTATTACTACTAACTACCCAATAATACAGATACACATAAACTATCGCACCAGCGACGTCGCTAATGCCGCCTGCGATTCTGACTATTAGATAATAGTATAATACTGGCAAGTAGCTCGGTGGCGTAGTGGATAAGCGCCGCGGCCCGCGATCGTAGTCGTTAAGCAACTTTCGCAAGGGTCGGTCACGAGATGGGTGACCAAAAATTGTTTATCTTGAACTACTCCGTGCTTCGGAAAGCACGTTAAGCCTCCAATCCGCATTGGGCCAGCGTGGAGGGTCATGGCCCATTCTCCTTAACCATCCATAAAGAAGGCCTGCGCCCCTGCAGTGGGGACGTAAAAGGGCTGGTGATGATGATAATACTGGCAGATGACAATGACAGCTTTTAAGAACTAACCTACCTTATATCACTGGTACACATGAGCTATGCCATACTTTCGACCATCGCATACCTCTCCTTTTTCTTGATAAGGACACTCTTACAGACTGTGTTTAAGGTTTCTTACACATAGGATAAAAAACGAGACCCTATTACCAATACTCCGCTGTCCGGCTGTCTGTCACCAGGTTGTATCTTATGAACTATGATTGTTAGACAGTTGTTTATTTTAAAGATAATAAAATTACTTCTATGAAATTACTAAAAGCAGAAAAAAATAAGTTATCGCAAAAAAATTGGTTGACCAGTACCAATCAGTACAGGCAACAGCACATCAGGTTACACAAAACGGTATTTCCTCACTTCAGTACAAATATAAAAACAATATCATTTGCGAATTGATTTTATATCGCACGCGCACCACCACCTCTAGTCGAGAAAAGTAATGAATTGAGAAAAAATGTAACCAATAGACGAGAATTTGAAAGAAGTAAGAACTAGTAGTTCTTATAGCTATCCTTCAGCTATACCTAATATATAGCTAATAATAAATGTATTATAATTATTAAAGTTCTAACTTCCTTTAAATTCTCGTTTATTTGATAAAAATGTATCCTAAAGCTATGACATATTGTCAAGTAATTACTTCCCTCGACTATAGATATGAAGGTCAGAATCTCATAACGACTTTCCAGGTTTGCCAAAGAAGGCCGGCCAGTGTCCGTACCTAGTACCATCTAACGGTGCGTGCGAGTGGTCATGCCGCAGCGACGCGGAGTGCGGCCCCACTGAACGCTGCTGTCCCACCGGCTGCGGCACCTCCTGCACCAAGCCAGTCCACCAGACCGCTTGTCAACAGCGACGGTAATTAACCACCAACCACCACCTTTATAGCACTACTTTTACTTACCCTTATAGCAATACAGAATCGTGAATGGCATAAACTTTATTTCGCAGAAACTCGTTTGGCATACACACTTAAACCATATATTCCAAACTTATAATTTTCGATAACTTGTTATTAAATTTTTTCTATAATTTTACTAGGTACTTTTTACTTATAAGAATTCGTCTAAAGCAAATTATGCTAAATGTGGTATGTCCAATAATTTTGGGAGTATTGAGATTCTGATTGATAAAAGGAACCCAACTCACTATCAGCATACAACTTCTTCATACTATAGGTATATGCATGAGCACATCAACTGTTATTATTAATTTGGATAATTTTGTTTGCATAGTACATTTACTATATATTATACTTTTACACGATACCTCACTACTAAAATTACTTAAGGAAACTTGGGCATGAGCCGTGAAAGCTTTAAAGAAATTTTGTGGTATTTGCGGAATTGAGAAATCGTAATTTATGTACGTTTCAATAATAGTATACGTCGTTGTTAGGGCTCTAGCGCTACATACTGCGGCGGAAAGCGGCAGCCCTCCATCATGGACTTGGGTGCCGACTTGCAAAGACGATGGCTCCTACGAAACCGTTCAGTGTAAGGGAACTGACAAAACTTGCTGGTGTGTTGATTCTGCAGGAAACGAGGTCTGTAACATTATTTCTGAAAAAAAAAAACTTTGTACCAGTTTATAATATTAAGAAGTTTTATCACCATTTGTCTAAATATTCTACTACTACATTATCTAGATTGCTGGTACCCGAACCTCAAATTCAACTCCAAACTGCAACAAGCCGGCAGAATGCCCCGCAGCTGGATGCAATGAAGAAGAAATTTGCGTTCACGGACGTGAACTAGATAGCAAAGGGTGTCCCACGTGCGTTTGCAGAGATCCATGTTCCGAGGCTAAATGCAGGGAAGACGAGACATGCGAACTTGTTCCCTTGGACTGCGAGGTTGGTTTTTAAATAATTATCAATGTTTCCTAGTGTATACAGAAAGAGATTTACTTAGTATTTATTTTCAAAAGTGATTAAGAAATGAAATGGCTTATTATTTTCAACGGTTCTAGCTACCGATTGTCTTTTTTGTTTTGTTTTTTTTTTTGTAACAATTATCATACCTCGCCAGTTTTTACCGTCAGAATTACAGAATCAAGAAATTTTATTGAAATTTCGCCATCAAATCCAAAGTAGCATACGCTTATCACTTACATAGTAAATTCAAGCTTCATCAGCATTCAACCATTACTTGCACTACATACTCTTCAAAAGTACTTGCATATCTCTTAACTATTTGTTAGGTACTAAATCGAGCTCTCATAATCTGACAAGTACCCCTTGGTGCTTAATTTTTATACGATAACTGTTCCTCAGGGCGAATTTTGTCCGCCGCTAGCGAGATGCGCACCATCACCGCAATGCCCTGATGGTGGAACACCGTTGCTAGCCCCAGGAGGGACGAGCGCGTTATCATGTGGACCACGTGCTGCCGCATGCCCCTCCACACATGCATGCCGATTCGCACCGCATGACTCCACGCCCGCTGTCTGCTGCCCAAAGCCGCGTGAGTAGTCTGTTTAGGGTTACGTAGGTCATACACGCCAAGTGTCTACCACATAGGTTACCATTACAGGTTTGCCTACGAAACATTTATTAGGGAGATGCACAGGCTGAAATGTGTAGTCTGTGGAAGCTATTAGGTTTACTGCTCGTAGCAGCATTTCTTGCCTTGGTTTTCTTTTTCTAAGCATTCTTTGTGGTTTAAAGACTTAAACAACCTCTATTTTGTTCCCCGAAGTGATTTAAACCTCCGCTCTAATCCAATCAAAAAGCATGTCAATATCTCCTTGTACTCCTCCTGAATAAAATTTTTGTTACGCGTTCGTTCCAAGAATGATTTCCTGTAGCTGTTGTTGATATCAACGCAGATGATTTAACTCGTTTTTATGCCTCTAATAACGACTTAAGTAGATATTCGCAATCACATAATTGTTTCTTTTTTCATGTAGGCACCGTATGTTTTGAAAGTAAAGACGAGGGGGCATGCTCTGATACCGAGGGGCTTAATGCCACCCGATGGCACTTTAACCACGAACGCAATCGCTGCGAGCGATTCAAATACCACGGCTGTTCCGGCAACCACAACAACTTCCGTACCAAAGAGGAGTGCAACGCTGTTTGTCCTGGTAAGTAAAAATAGGGTTTTTTCATAAGTTTTATTTCTTGACCAAAAATCCTATTAAGAAAAGATCAACTACTACATCAGTACTTGTATTGTATATACATTTAACATCAGGCAAGGAGAAATTATTACATCAATACTAATAGATCTAGGAGATCTTCACCGTTTTTTTTGTAAGAGGTTTGATTATTGGAGAAATTAGTTGAGACGATAGTCCATAGACGCTCCCTTACGATTGGCCATTGTAAATAGCATTAAAATAGATATCCTTTTGCTTGACTTTACCTAATGCAACCTTAAGATCTCTAAATAATTACGTCTATATCTTTCTACTCACAATTTTGGGAAGGTACTGACGATTTACCCTTGAAGACTCTAGTCTTCTTATTGATACTGTAACTTATTCTTATCCTCACTTCTAATTTCATAACTTAACCTTTTCTTTTTTCTAACTCCCTGTTTACTTTTGAAACAGTTGATAACGGGGAATCCGCCAAATTGTTTCGCAAGAAGACAACAAATCCGAAAGAGGAAGGCATGTTATGTTCCTTAATAATATATGACATTGGTGGTCAAATTTACAATATTTAACAATTAAAACACAAATTTAACAAACACTTGAATATATATTTTGCACGTTGTTCTAATCCCACCTTATCTGCGTAATTAATTGACGCATATTTCAGCTTTTTATGCATCGAAGGCTTGTTTAATTTACTCATAATGTAAAATGCACCTTATGATAACAATAGCCTGCCTGCTATGATATGTTACAATTAATAATAAAATGATTAAAATAACTTAATTATCAATTGGAATAACCACAACCTATAGCATAATTATTAAAACGAAAAAGAAACAAATTAAGTTTGAGATTAAAAATAATTCATTCGTTTATAATAAACAATACTTATAATGATTTCCGCTACAACTATCTTCTATACTATCAAAATATAGAACACAAGAAAGAGATTTGACTTTAGACTTTATTGTTTAATTTTATATCTAGTTGCATGTACTAACTCTTAAAGGTAAGTAACTTGAAATATTTTTTTAAATGTTATCGTATCTTTTAGTGCTAAGCCCTTGTGAAAGACTACGAGAGAAAAACGAAGCAGCTACCCAGAAGTATGGCAAAGGAACCTTCATTCCTGTTTGTGACGAGAGTGGCGCTTGGGAGTCTGTGCAATGCATGGCACATATCGGTTAGTTTAAACATAAAAAATCATTTAAGAAATATAATTTTCTTTTTTACACACAAGACAAAACTAGAACTCATTTCATTTTTGAGGATATTAACTTTTCCAAGCATATTGTTAAGATGAATGTGAATACAATATTTCAAAGGGAGGATTTCACGAAAATAATAAATAAGATATAGTTTTTCTTCTTGTTAAATTAACACAACCTAATTTTTGTAGAACTAGAAACTTCTAGGTTTGTTGAAACTTTAATTCATAAATATGAAGATTCATTTTTTGTTCAACAGACGTTTGCTGGTGCGTGAGTGCACGCGGAGAGCCTCTCAAGGGATCGTTAGTCCGAGGTGCTAAACCTTCATGTAACTTCAGACAAGCTCGGAAGTGGGTCAGACGCGACCCGCTTGATGAACGAGCTCGAGCAGATGAAGGTAAGGATAACCTCGAACAAAAAGATATAAAAAATTGATCTTCGATTAATAAATATGTTCTGTGATCATGGAGTAACAGAGCAACTCCATGGCACTTGCATCACTGTAGAAATATCGGAGACTCAGTAAACACTGATACATGGTAGAAATTACACCACCAACAGTCAGTCAGTGACACTGAAAATTTAGAGCGAATGTATTTATTTAAAAATATTGATATTCCGAAATTGTCAATAACAAATTATTATAATTAATGAAAGCATGTTACTCGTACAAAAAAGGTATAACGTATTCTTCTGCAAATAGTTTTATATAGCAAATTTTATTGTTTGATTTTAAGACTCAGTTTAAAAAATTGGATTTAATCCATTTTTTATTTATTTGTTTACAGTATTAGAAGAACTAATTAGACAAATGACTGCATATCGAATGGATGACTTTAATTATGACGACGAAGAAATGGATATCGATCTTGAACCGGAAGCACGAGAACCAGCAATAGATACTTCCACAGATAAAGAGAAAGTATTGAACGACGACGCGACTATTCTCTCTGAGGTGGTAGAGCCAAAAGTAATAGAGGTGACCAAAAATACAGAAGTGGAAATAAAAACTGAAAAGAGTGTGTTTAAAACCAAATGCCAATTAATGCAAGATGAAAGTGAGAATGGTAAAAATAAATGTTGTTAACATATTATTGCAATAAACTAGCTTTATTTAGGACTTGTTGGAAATCTCTCATTTACTTGATGCCTAGATTAATATTATTCGTAACAGATCGGCAACGATCAATTTTTATATACATTTTTCATTAAGAATATATATCGAATCCATAAACTCTTCTGTTTCTAAAAACTGTGTTGGAATCGAGGAATTATTTTGATGCACATATTCTAATCGCTATAGATTCAAAATCTCGCTTTTATGTTTTTACATTAAGGTTATTGTAAATACCCTTAATTAAACTCCTATCCTCAATTAAAGTCCCTATGGTAACAACCATAAGCATTAAATAACCCCTGTTTCATATTTGTGCAATTTATGTAGGTAATTTTCAATTGGCACGGTTATCAACGCTTTATCTTCTACCGTAATTGTATTTTTTTCTCAATTTATACAAAAGCATCATAATAATACCTTGCAAGCACTTTCTCGTCATGTAATATCGTATTAAATCCATTAAGTAAATAGTTTTTGAGTTTATCTCATTCAGACAGACAGGTGTGGCGTCGCAACTTCGTTCATTTATTTATAAAGATGTGTTTATGTAAGGTTTGTTTGTGTTATGAATAGGAGGCGATGGTCCTCGGCCTCGTTGTCTATCAGACGGGTCGTTCTCCCCACGTCAATGCTCGCGGGGACGTTGTTGGTGCGTGGACGCAGCGGGACAACGGCGCACGCAAGTCGGTTCAGTTCCTGACTTACCCGATCCAGACCCATGTGGTAAATATAAACATTGTTTGAAACTATTTTATTTAAAATTTTTGAATTTGATGGTTGGTGCGTTGATTCTGATTTTTGCACAAGTTGATTACTTCCGGAATTACGAATAAACGTAATTCCGGAAGTAATCAACTTTTGCAAAAATCAGTCCTTGGATAGGTTAGGTTAGGTTATTATTTTAAGCTCCTTCGCATCTCGGAAAGTACGTTTCCATTGGTTTTGGTTGTCGTTCTTAGTGTCGTCCTTTCCACGGGATAGACTCCACCAAAAATAGTTGAGAATTATTGAGTTCACTATCATTTAATTTATTACACGACAGCCAAGCGATCTATTATCGAGACAGTAAGTGACTTAAAGGTCAATCGATGCGCCTCTTATTTTATGGCTTTTATGGAATCCTACAATTGATATGCACAATTCATTATCCGTTTTCCAATACCCGATATCGTTGGGTTCTATTACTTTTAACATAGTAGTTGATATCTCCTATAGTAGTTGATAAGCTATGAATGAATTCACTGATATTTTTTTAGAACCTACGCAAATTGAGTCAGCGTTATTAGAGTTGGAATTTGTTGGAGTCGAGACCCCGGAGGCGGAGCGGGCTCGGTCAGCTCTCACTCATCACCTGAGCGCTTTGGGTGCTCGGGTCCCCGTCAGCATTGCCAAAGAAAAAACTATGGTGAAATTGCGGGCTACACTTACCGGTGCCCGCGCTGTCGACGTCGTTTATAATATCGAAAAATTGGTAAGCATTATTTCCGTAATACTTTTATGGAAATTACACGTCAGCATTTGTATCTCTACAATACGGGTGTAGACAGTAAACGAAAATAAATACTTAATTATTTTTCTGGTAGCCTTTAACTAATATATATATTCGATAATCTCATTTTTATGTTTATTATATTTATATATTTTAAAAATCAATTATGAAAAAACATTTTTTTTATACTCGCTGTCACATAACCGCAAACAGAGCAAGACTTAATGTCCCCCTACTAATATCAGACTTAGATAATCAAACCTCATACACACACAGAATAAGTTCTAGAGGAGTGTGACGTCATAGCAACGCCATGACAGACGATAGCGTAATCGCGGGAAATTTTGAAATTATAATTTTTAGATTTTAACTCATTATATAAACGATACTTTTTAATATTATTTTAGATATATTTCATGTATATCTATGAAATAAAAATATTTAAAAAAGTCGTATTGTTTCAAAAGAACTCGTGGTAAGACCCTGGTATTTTTTTGTAGCAGACATCATTAAAAAGATTTTTTATTTCAATCTGTAACAAGATCTCTTTCTTTAAGTGTCCAGAAATTATCAATGATTGATTTCTCTAACTAATACTTGCTTTTTCAATATACCTATTGCATAACTTCATAACGAATTTTCACGAATAGACACGAAGTTTCGGAATTCTTAGTCTTCACTAATCATCATTAGCTTTCGGTATAAAGAGCATAAGATAGTTTTAAGAAAATATTGAAATGAAAATGAAATCCACTATGTACTTATCTAACTATTATGAGTAGCACATAAATAATCCACTCGAACTAAAACCGAAAAGTTGAAACGTTTACAATTTACAAGGTAAAGCAAGAGAAACTGTCTGGCAAGAAAAAAGGTGATGAAGCGACGCTGGGCGCAGACGTGATCCGCAGCGAGTATCGACTCTCAAGTCTTCCGCTCACGTTACATCAACGGGAAATACTCACAGAATCGACTGTACGTAACATGAAATCTAAACATACACCTCCTACTACAAAACCCGCACAACAAAAACTATTATATTCCAAATTATCCAACCTATAATATTCTTTAATTTATAAATCTAATTCAAATTATGAACTCTATTATACTCTTTCATTCAAAGTTCTTGATCCAAATTAAAAATCCTATACTCCATCCGTATGATCCATATTGATTTCTTATATTGTCACGCGCACTATCCATAAATTAAACAATTTTTAAATGGTTTCATCGCGTTTGTATTAAGTTTTATTGACGTTTCGGGCCCTTTACAGATTCCGTGTTTATATAATTATATAGTTAATAAAACTAAACACAAACGCGATGAAACCGTTTAAAAGTTGTTTCATTTACATATGATCCATATTAAGAAACCTACTATACTTCGTCATCTAAACCTTCTAACAAAGTCATGTATTACCTCTACACATAGTGCATAACACTATTCTTAATTTGTTTAGTATTATGATTATGAAGGACTTTATGTGTGGCACTATTTCTCGAAACCATTTTTCTATAATATGATATTTAGCTAAAGCTCCAGGTTTATTTTCTTATTATTGTTGCTAATATTTTTAATAACTAATCCTGTTTCACATTATTTTAGTTTGATTGCTCAGGTTGTCAATTTAGTTTTGTTAGTTATTTTTTATATTGAAAGATTTTTTATATAAAATAAACAATAAATCGAGCTTCATTTTATTTTATGAATAAATTTAAATTTCCAGTAAATAAGTATATTATTAAGTTATGGTTGTTCTTCGTTGTATTCATTATGTTAAACATATAATTTTTATTAACTTATTTTATTAAGTAGAATTTATTTTGTTACTTTCGTAAATAAACAGTTAATGCAAACGATAACTTTTCATTCACACCATCCACTTTGTAAATAGGTAGGTAGACTAAAAGAATATCGAGTGCACCCGCTTAACGATAACATGCGCACGCGGCTTCCCTAATCCATTGACGAGTTCACTTTTAAATTGGACAGGTGTCAGCTGCGACGTCTTACCACACAGCGCTGATAGTCCTCGCGGCGACATCGGCGTTCATCATCAGCGTTCTATGCGTCCTCGTCATGCTATACAGAGCGAGACTACAGAGGGAACCTCACAAAGCAGAGAGGTTCCTTCCAGCTGCCCCCCCTGTCTACGTTCTCTCTGCTGACGAGAAAGCAGAACTGGCTAGAGTATTACACGCTCCTCCACCCCCCGTACCCCCCCAGAACATAGATGACAACACGAGAGTATAACTTCTATAAGCGTTTACGTTACTTAAATATAGTACAGGTGCTTAGGGTCCAATTTAGCGTCTAGTTTTGGGTAACGTAGATGCAGGTTCAATTGGCATGGTCCTTCGAGCCGGATACGAGAACTGTTTCGAGATGCCTTCTTTAAAGAAAAGATATGAAAGAAAGGAAAGATATGAGATAAATGTTATTTATTATTTAATTCAACTTGAGTTTGTATGTATTACCAAATAATTTGTTTCGTATGGAGAACACTCAAAGATAAAAATTGTAAAACTAATTATTGATTTCTTAAACTTATTATTATGTTCAAATATTTACAAAAAAACATCAATATCTTTCCTGCATTTAGATTTAGGCTAAATCGAACAGAATGCAAGCGTCGAGTAGTGATCATGAAGATAGACGCCTCATAATTTTTTGTGTCTTTTGCCAGGGCTGCTCTGGGTGACATTATTATATCAACATAATGCTGGCAATCTTCAACAAACTATGCCTTATATATAAGACTTATTTAGATTTCTGTAAAGATTCTTGCAAATATATACTTAATACAGGTGAAATACATAGGGTACCAAATAGGAACCAAGTGAAGTAGTAAACGTAATACATTATTCTTTTAGATTTTATAATCAGTATTTGAAAGTGTTCTTAAGAGCTATATATTACATGAGCACTAGCACTAAAGTCGTTAAATACAAATTAAACATAAAAACCGCATTATATATAAAATATCCTTACAGCCAGTTGCACAAACGTGCATTAAAATTTTCATGAGTTTAAAGTGACATTACCGATACAAATTTGACATTCATTAGAGCTTAAAGCCGTCATTAAGCCTTAATGGACGTTTGTGCAACTCACCGTTAGTTTTTGAAATTAGTAATTTATTGAAAAAATAAGAAATGTCAGTCGTTCGTTTCAGTTTATTTCAAAAACTATGAAAGTGTTCATGTAATAGGGTTAAATAATTTGGAAGACTTATATCTAGAGATCGCTTGCGTAAAGGATTAAAGTTTCTATGGTGAACTAAAAGATCAAGTGAAGAGTGAAATTTCAAATATTTATTTTCTAGAGTAAAGAAATAGGACAATGGTACAATTTGTGTAAAATATGAGTCTTTTAGTTCATCAATAGAACTCTGCAATTATTCTTTGATCAGCAAATCTAATTAATAAGTATTACTCTGGCGGTGAAGAGATTTTCTAGTTAAGTTTTTTATCTAAGTAGGTTACTCAGCGCAAAGGCGTGCGTCTGTAATGCACGCCTTTACGCTCTTTAGTTTCTTTCATCGAGCTATGTCGGGAAAGGTCTGGATATAAATGTTGTCAAGCTTATTAGGAGTACAGTTATAATAAACTCTTTAATTCAAGAGATGCGATATTAATATCCGTATATAGAACAAACACTTCTGGCTTTAATATTAAAAACACAAGTTGTTACAAAGAAGGGTGCAAAACCAAATCTCTTATATGAAATTGGTCAGAACAAAACATTATTTCAAAACTTAAAACAAATAACGCAATTGTATCATACCTATCACTGAATTAACAGGACTTATTTTGATTTCTTATTCTTCAAATATGAACTTGAATTTTTTCTCCGTTAGGTGCTATAAGTCCTCCCGCATCTTTTCTGTATCACATACATCTATGTGATACAGAATAGATGCGGGACGTAATGCATAAAATTGATTATTATCTAGCGTTAGGTGCACTTTTAATTGGGTGGAGGATATAATTTTTCATAAAATAATTATGATACCATTAATTTATACAAAAAAAAGGGTTATATCTTGCCTAGCAACGACCGTGGCTCGACGTAGAACTAATCTAGTCTTATTCATTGAAAAATCTTTTATTACTTTTTTTACTCTATCATCAATCATCATTTTGTTATTTATATTTGTAAATAATTTCTATTTATCTAGGTACTTCATTTACCCATCATCTTCAAATCTCAACATTGTAAAAATCAATCATCATCGTCATCATTTACTTATTTAGTATTAATTCTACATAACTTCCAATTTAAAGTATTGAATTCTAGCAATATAGACTTTTTCATATAATGTATGATATTGACTATAATTAAAGTATAATTTTTCAAACACCTGTATATTATTTTGTGTGGATTATCATGAGTTGGAAACCCAATCGATAGCTAGGATTGTGTTCTTGGCGTCAGATGCATAGTAAGTATTTTTTGCTTTTATTACCTACAGATAAAATATAAAAATAAATCACTTAATTCTACGAGTATTTACACTTCATTGCACACTAAAATGTATACAAATGGCGGACTTAAAGACATCTATACTAGTCAACCGGAGAATTGTTTAGCGAAGGTGGAGCAAAAACGGAGAGAAGTACAAGCTAACAAAATGATTTAAGTGTCGATGAGATGAGACACTTTTCTTGAATTCGTAAATCATCTTTAAAATAACATTAAAATTTTTAATGCCATGGGTAAAAGAAAGAAATCATAGAGTGGATTGTGCATAACCGTAAAAGGATTTAATTTTCTTTATACTGATATTTATCTTATTTTAGATCCTCTTGTCTAGTTCAATGCTTATTTGTGGTCTCATGTGATTAAAAATCAAAACAATTTACAGAAAGAAATTAATGATAATTTCATTTCAGTTATAAATTCGTTTGTAAACGGTGACAGTATAATTGCAGAATAAGCTTAGATTAATTATATAATCCAAGGACTTCATTTAACTAACCTGCCACCAGTATCAAGTAATAGGTTTACTGGACAAAATCGCTGTTCAGCGGTAAGGCCGCCTATTGCACAAATATTGTTAATTTAATATTCGTATCTTCATAAATGTTTTTATTTTATTTTGATGTCAAATAAACTATATAAGTGTATATGTAAATACGATATAATTAACAGAACATTTAAAAAAAGGAATTTTCTAAAGGTCTCGACAATTCGACATTCAGAAAGAGTCACTACTCACTCTTTTTGTAAAACAACCTGTCTTTCAACCTGTATTAATCCACTACGTCCAATTTTAAACTAATATTTTAATTACTAATATAAAATCTAAAAATAATTGTACTTAGATGAGGTTATATAATCTAATTTTACTTTAATTTTATAAAATAGAATGGCATTCGTAACTCTAATACAAAAAAAAAAAGTATTTTTAGCAAAATTGACCTTTCTGGATCTGACGGGGTTTGATATTAGATGACTTGGATAACAAAAGGATTTTAATATAATTTTATTTTTTTGTACTCTACCGATTAATCCCTAATTGCCCTTGATGTTCTGTAAGTGTCTCGTAGAACACGCGCTCGTAGCGTCTGATTGCAAGTTACTTTGGTCTAGACCTAGGGTAATAATAACTTGCGAAAGTTGTCCATGAATTGGCTGAATGTATAAAGACAATATACAAAAAAAAATTCAAACATGAGGAAAAAAGTGATGTATTTGTAAATTGAATATTATCGTGACGAAAAAAAGGACATTGATAGCCCGAGAACTGATTTATTGTTATTTTGATAAAATAAAGTAAAAACTATGGTTTTTGGGGAAATGGCTTAATTAACTAAAAAAACTTAAAAAAACAGAACGAATTGAAGATAAAATAAAAAACTATTTCAAAAGTACCGGGTTTTTTATTTTATGTCAAAAACAAATCGTCATTGTGTATACTGTATGTAAAAAATATCTATTTAAAAGATAAGTTGTCAGATAATATATCCATACTCTCAGACCAAATAAAAAGTATAGACCACAGACTTAGTAGGTATCAGACGACCAACTTCCTAACAAAAAATTTCTTCGTAGAACGTGATTGGGAGCCAGTGATATATGACAGCTTCATTCGTTTTAAATATATTGATCTACTATCGGCAAAGGCATTTAGCTATACAGCCCTGTTTTGGGTAGGTACCTAGCCGTCTTCCTAGTTTCCACATTATTTTTACTTTAATTTAAATTCCTTTTTTGTTTTAATACAACAATAACAATAAAGCAGACTGATAAGTCTAGCTTATTATTATTGTTGTATTAAAACAAAAAAGGAAAAACGAAAACGTAAATGAAACACACATTTTTCCAATATTATTTATTGAATATTTTTTAACTTATTATATTTTTCACAGCTTTCTTCTGCATTCTCGGCAATTCTTAGCTACGTTTTTACGTTTTTTAGTGGCCTTATGAAACTTTTCAAGGTAATCACATTTTTTTTAAAGAGGGCACTGATATTTGCATACCTTTTTATTCACATATTTAAGTTTTTCTAAAATTTCAATTGCCTTTGGCCAGAAAGAATGATGCTCTTTTCCTTCTTTTATGCTTTTTTTGTTTATCGATGCTCCATTGACACTATCAAATAATTGGTCACAGAATGAAACAACTTCAGCTGTATTTCTTAATGTTGTGCTGACGGGCCTGCCATCCACATAAGTTGCTGCAAATTAAAATATTCATACAATAATTGTATGAAACTTGATTCAAAACTATTAACTGTTAGTAAATTTCATCTAATACTCACAGAAATTTGCAGCTGCAGACATATTTTTATGCAATTTTTTACCTGCAAAAAGAGATATCATATTTAAAATTATCTTCATTAGAGAACCATTATTGTAATTTAAATGTAAACTATATTAACTACTTGTTACATAATTAAAAATACAGGTCATTGAATCAACACTTGCTCTGATAGAGAATATAGAAGCTGAATACAAATTATTTCTTTTATTTATACAAATTTAAGTTAAATATAATTACCAATGCATTACCTTCATCATTTTAATTTTATCAGGTATAACTCATTGGTCATTTAATTTATGACGTAGCCCAGCTTCAGTGTGTTGACAGTCTGTCTCATAGACATAAATAATATCATGCCATTTTGCAAGTTTACTATCCAATATTAAATTTTTTGTTAAAAATTGTTCCTCATGCATTTTATCAAGTGTGTAGAATCATAATGTTCAAATCCACCCCACATATTTTAAGAATGCCAACTGAAACAAAAATTTAAGAACTTCTTAAAACATAGATAACAATATAAAAATAAGAACCTTCACTACTTTCATTAAATCTATTCAAATTCAATTTAAAATTTGATCACACTAAGTGTCTTTTTTAGATTTTTGAGTGCTGATTGGAAAGCTGAGCCTTGGTCATATATTATTGCAATTTGATTAAGGTCCAATTCAACAACCTTTTCTACTACTAACTTTAAAATATTCTTGATGTACAGTAAATGTCGCTCCTTGACAGAAATACTAACATAAAAGCTGTTGCCACTTGCCACTAAACAGCACCAACATAAATACAATAGTATGATCTGCAAAATCCACTTTCTTTTCTTGGTGTTCTACAAATCCATTAATGTTATCGTTGATCCTTATTACTTTTATTATACGAAAGTGCTGTTTCTAATGACATCTCATCAAATATAATGGAGCATATTTTTTGGAGTTTCATTTGTCCACCTGAAAAAATAAATTCAAATAGGTAGGTACATATTATAAAAGTAAAAAATTATAAAAGTAGTATGAAAAACCTTATATGGAATATATTTACCTCTTACATGAAGCCTGGTTCTATGATCGATTTTCTAATCATAGTATTCAGTGTAGTTTTGGATGATAAAATAAAAAATTTTGCTTAAAAATCAATAACACTTTGGACTCTGTTTTGATATTGATAAAGCAATTATATTTTATTCGGTAGTGAATCACCTCTCATGTTTATTTTTAGAGCACATGCTCACTTGCATTTCAAAATCATTTTTTGCAACCGTGTTCATTTTTTGTCAGAACTTTTCAAATGATAACTTTTTACAAAACTTAAAGGTATTTAAGTATTCTTAAATTTATTATGAAACTTCAACTACGTCTTTGGCTTGTTATATTCTTCATAAATTCTCTGGTATAAAGGTGACAATTGGCTTTATTTGGTAATAAGCATTTTCCTTTTTGTTTGGGTACATTTCACAGGGTCTGTAACATCAAAAGTATTCAGTGAATTTCTCTGTTAGAACTACTATTTGATTGAAATAAAGATACACTAAAGAAAGAGACAGGTCTTACCAGATAATTTAGTTTGTGTCATATTTTAATCTCCAGAGCAAGCAACTAATTGAGTAAACTCAGTGGCTGCAGACACGGGAGTCTCAATTTGTTCTTTTAAAATTACACCACCTATGAAATCAATATTGATTATGTGTGTAAGATTAAAAAACAGGATATAATCTTAGATGATATTAGAATATGTTATCTATATTATCAATTTATTCTCTGATCAAAAACACTTCTAGCGTGCCCGCTAGAATTAAGTAACTTAATGTCATTTTTCATGTGTAAGAAAGAGCGATCTACTAGACTTTTTTAAAGCAAAAATCTATATTAAAATACACCAAAACTGCAGCATGAACTTTGTTATCAAAATAAAATAAATTAAAAACAAACCTCTGTTCAGTTCCACTTTCTAATATGTGTGGTCAACATGACTTTTTCTTGCATAGCTGTGTTCCCAAGTGAATATAATTTCTGTAATAAAAAAAAATCTAATGAAGAATAGCGGTATTCCAAAACACAACATAAAGTGAAGATACATATCATTTTAATTACATTATCTGAAGGTAATAGCAGATTAAACCAGCCTTACCAGTATTGTTTGAAGAGGGTAGGCTGATTGAGAGCCCATCATCAATAAACAATGACAGATATGCATCACCCAAGAGTCATGATTTTGGAGTGATGAATCTTGGTACAACGTGTTTGCTACAAATGACACTTCTGCCTGGATTAAAATTTTCAGTACCACACACAGCACTAAGAGATTGTAACCACTTGGAGAATCTTTTCTCGTTCACTAGAATCTTATAAAGAATAGCGTCCTGTTCGTACTTTAACAATGCGTGTAACACAACCATAACGCAACACACCAATTTCCTAGGTATGCCTAGAATATGTTCTACAAAGAAGAATACTTCGAAAAAAGGAGAGTTTATATTACAAATAAAGCGAAGACGGTAAGCACAAAAGAAACTTTACTCAATCACTTGTAATTCCCTGATATGTAGGTACATACTTTAGTCTTCTTCTTCTTTTATTAATGGCATATCTGCGCATTTCACACAATTTTGCCAATGTGAAATGAATAAATTAATTCCAACATGTAAAATAAATTAAAAATTGATTAAAACATTACTAACTTTACTCTTTGTTGTAATGACAGTTTCTGTCAGGTGTCATGTCTCCATCTACTGACAGGGGTGAGGGGCGTGAGGAAATGTCATACATCACTGGACCCTACGCGATTGGTTTATTGTACGGAGTTGACGGGCCGTGGTATAGACGGAGTTTTGCCTAACAGAAAAGTGAAG